TGGCTAAGGTGTATGTAAACTTCCGACTTCAAATGTGTGTATATATATATACATATACACACACAGTGGGGAGAACAAGTATTTGATACATTGCCAATTTTGCAGGTTTTCCTACTTACAAAGCATGTAGAGGTCTGTAATTTTTATCATAGGTACACTTCAAATATGAGAGACAGAATCTAAAACAAAAATCCAGAAAATCACATTGTATGATTTTTAAGTAATTAATTTGCATTTTATTGCATGACATAAGTATTTGATCACCTACCAACCAGTAAGAATTCCGGCTCTCACAGACCTGTTAGTTTTTCTTTAAGAAGCCCTCCTGTTCTCCACTCATTACCTGTATTAACTGCACCTGTTTGAACTCATTACCTGTATAAAAGACACCTGTCCACACACTCAATCAAACAGACTCCAACCTCTGCACAAAGGCCAAGACCAGAGAGCTGTGTAAGGACATCAGGGATAAAATTGTAGACCTGCACAAGGCTGGGATGGGCTACAGGACAATAGGCAAGCAGCTTGGTGAGAAGGCAACAACTGTTGGTGCAATTATTAGAAAATGGAAGAAGTTCAAGATGACGGTCAATCCCCCTCGGTCTGGGGCTCCGTGCAAGATCTCACCTCATGGGGCATCAATGATCATGAGGAAGGTGAGGGATCAGCCCAGAACTATACGGCAGGACCTGGTCAATGACCTGAAGAGAGCTGGGACCACAGTCTCAAAGAAAACCATTAGTAACACACTACGCCGTCATGGATTAAAATCCTGCAGCACACGCAAGGTCCCCCTGCTCAAGCCAGCGCATGTCCCGTCTGAAGTTTGCCAATTACCATCTGGATGATCAATAGGAGGAATGGGAGAAGGTCATGTGGTCTGATGAGACAAAAATAGAGCTTTTTGGTCTAAACTCCACTCCCCATGTTTGGAGGAAGCAGAAGGATGAGTACAACCCCAAGAACACCATCCCAACCGTGAAGCATGGAGGTGGAAACATCATTCTTTGGGGATGCTTTTCTGCAAAGGGGATAGGACGACTGCACCGTATTGAGGGGAGGATGGATGGGGCCATGTATCGCGAGATCTTGGCCAACAACCTCCTTTCCTCAGTAAGAGCATTGAAGATGGGTCATGGCTGGGTCTTCCAGCATGACAACGACCCGAAACACACAGCCAGGCCTACTAAGGAGTGACTCCGTAAGAAGCATCTCAAGGTCCTGGAGTGGCCTAGCCAGTCTCCAGACCTGAACCCAATAGAAAATCTTTGGAGGGAGCTGAAAGTCTGTATTGCCCAGCGACAGCCCCGAAACCTGAAGGATCTGGAGAAGGTCTGTATGGAGGAGTGGGCCAAAATCCCTGCAGCAGTGTGTGCAAACCTGGTCAAGACCTACAGGAAAACATTGTAAAATAAAGAAAAACCCTGGAATGAGTAGGTGTGTCCAAACTTTTGACTGGTACTGTATCTATATAGGATTTTTACATTTTACGCTATTGTACTGTGTGTCATTACACAGTACTTGCTTTGATACCGTATTTATATAACAGTATGTGTACAGTGCATTCGGAAAGTATTCAGACCCCTTGACTTTTTCAATTTTGTTACGTTACAGCCCCTCCACCAATCTACACACAATACCCCATAATGACAAAGCGGAAACAGGTTTTGAGAATTTTTTGCAAATGTATTAAAAATAGAAAACGGATATCACATTTACCTAAGTATTCAGACCCTTTACTCAGTACTTTGTTGAAGGACCTTTGGCAGCGATTACAGCCTTGAGTCTTCTTGGGTATGACGCTACAAACTTAGCACACCTGTATTTGGGGAGTTTCTCCCTTCTCTGCGGATCCTCTCAAGCTCTGTCAGGTTGGATGGGGAGCGTCGTTGCACAGCTATTTTCAGGTCTCTCCAGAGATGTTCGATCGGGTTCAAGTCCGGGCTCTGGCTGGGCCACTCAAGGACATTCAGAGACTTGTCCCGAATCCATTCCTGCGTTGTCTTGAACCTTCAAGCTATAAAAACAAATGAGAGTCGCACAACTTCCAGTAAGTTATTGGGTAAAAAAAACCAATGTTTCGGTGTCACTCTACCTTCTTCTGAAGGAGAACCTTCACCCCAGTTTGAGGTCCTGAGAGCTCTGGAGCAGGTTTTCATCAAGTATCTCTCTGTACTTTGCTCCGTTCATCATTCCCTCGATCCTGACTTTTCTCCCAGTCCCTGCCACTGAAAAACATCCCCACAGCATGACGCTTCCTCCAACATGCTTCACCGTAGGGATGGTGCCAGGTTTCCTCCAGATGTGATGCTTGGCCTTCAGGCCAAAGAGTTCAATCTTGGTTTCATCAGACCAGAGAATATTGTTTCTCATGGTCTGAGAGTCTTTAGGTGCCTTTTGGCAAACTCCAAGCGGGCTGTCATGTGCCTTTTACTGAGGAGTGGCTACTGTCTGGCCACTCTACCATAAAAGCCAGATTGGTGGAGTGCTGCAGAGATGGTTGTCCTTCTGGAAGGTTCTCCCATCTCCACAGAGGAACTCTGGAGCTCTGTCAGAGTGACCATCGGGTTCTTGGTCACCTCCCTGACCAAGGCCCTTCTCCCCCGATTGCTCAGTTTGGCCGGGCGGCCAGCTCTAGTAAGAGTCTTGGTGGTTCCAAACGTCTTCCATTTAAGAATGATGGAGGCCACTGTGTTCTTGGGGACCTTTAAAGCTGCAGAGATGTTGGTGCCCTTCCCCAGATCTGTGCCTCGACACAATCCTGTCTCGGAGCTCTACGGACAATTCCTTCGACCTCATGGCTTGGTTTTTGCTCTGATATGCACTGTCAACTATGGGACCTTCTATAGACAGGTGTGTGCCTTTCAAATCATGTCCAATCAATTGAATTTACCACAGGTGGACTCCAATCAAGTTGCAGAAACATCTCAAGGATGATCAATGGAAACAGGATGCACCTCTCCCTCCTATCCCGGAGGACCTGAGCCCTAGGACCATGCCTCAGGAATACCTGGCCTGATGACTCCTTGTTGTCCCCAGTCCACCTGGTCGTGCTGCTGCTCCAGTTTCCACTCTTCTGCCTGCGGCTGTGGAACCCTGACCTGTTCACCGGACGTGCTACCTTGTCCCAGACCTGCTGTTTTCAACTCTCTCTCTCTACCGCACCTGCTATTTCAACCTCTAAATGCCCGGCTATGAAAAGCCAAGTGACATTTACTCCTGATGTACTGACTTGTTGCAACCTCTACAACCATTGTGATTATTATTTGACCCTGCTGGTCATCTATGAACGTTTGAACATCTTGGAGAAAAATCTGGCCTTAATGGCCATGTACTGTTATAATCTCCACCAGGCACAGCCAGAAGGTGACTGGCCACCCCTCAGAGCCTATTTCCTCTCTAGGTTTCTTACTAGGTGTATGCCTTTCTAGGGAGTTTTTCCTAGCCACCGTGCTTCTACATCTGCATTGCTTGCTGTTTGGGGTTTTAGGCTGGGTTTCTGTATAGCACTTTGTGACATCTGCTGATGTAAAAAGGGCTTTATAAATACAATTTGATTGATTGATTGACCTGAGCTCAATTTCGAGTCTCACAGCAAAGGGTCTGAATACTTATGTAAATAAGGTATTTCTTTTTTTTTCTTTTTTATAAATTTGTTTAAAAAAATCAAAATATCTGTTTTCGCTTTGTCATTATGGGGTATTGTGTGTAGATTGATGAGGAAAAACATTAATTTAATCAATTTTAGAATAAGGCTGTAACGTAATAAAATGTGGAAAAAGTCAAGGGGTCTGAATACTTTCAGAATGCATTGTACTGTAATATAAAATACAGAATTGTACTTGCCTCCGAGCTGTCTGTAAGCTACTGTCAAATTCACAGTGACCCCTTTACAGTTCACACCAGCCAGTTGCTACACAACAATGGAATGTATTCTCCATTAGCGAGTCACTCACAGCTATCAGTTAATCTCAAATCAATTCCACATTAATCCTTTGGTGTTTACACTTCTCCTCTACATGATCTTCTCTCCTCTGCCTGGCTTTGTTCAACCCTGGTGTGCAATGCATTCAACATATCAGTTGTGATACAAAGATCATTGCACTATCATTGTTCTGTGCCAGAGCCTGATAGTTGTGATGCAAATACATTTGTCTGCACACAAATATTTATACAACCGTTGTGTGGGAAACTAGGCTGGTAGACACACACCAGCCTCACTGTCCATTGGCTATGTTTAATAGTGAGTGTGATAAACCTAGTCAATTGCTGGCTGCACTCCAGTGGGCTAAGCCAGTGGTTCCCAACCAGGGGTATTATGACCCCTGGGGTTGCTTGGCCTATCTAGAGGGGGTACTTGAGAAGACTGATGAGACCATAGGTCTATTGGTAAAATGCACATGAGGGGGTACTTCAGGGGTACTCCGGGCAGAGCAAAATTCAGTTGGTGGTACAGTAACTGAAAAACGTTGGGAACCACTGGCCTAAACTATACATTTGACTTGCAATTAGAACCACCACAGTGTTCGCATGAATTATGGCACTGCACACTCTCCAATGCAAATACGTTCTCTGTATCTTTACCATGTAAAGTAATACGTTCATAGCCTCTCATACATCTAAGCTTGTTTCATATCCTATCAGACCTGGGTTCAAATTTGAAGTCTTTTTTTGTTCTAACCTGCCTGGAGTGCCATATGGGTGGGATTTGACTATTCTATTGGTTTACTAAATCAGGCAAGCTGGTTTAGTAAATCCAATAAAGTATTTGAAATAATTTCAAATAGTATTTGAACCAATGTCTGTATCCTATTATCACATTTTTGTCATTTAGCAGACGACTTACAGGAGCAATTAGGGTTAAGTGCCTTGCTCAAGGGCACATCGACAGATTTTTCACCTAGTCGGCTCAGCTATTCAGCATTGCTGGTTATACAAGTTAGTAAAACATGCCACACTGTTTTGAAATCAATAACCTTTGACCTTTCTGTCCCTTGCAGGTCATCGCAATGGCCCACAACCAAACCATTCCCCTTCGTCTCCTGTCCAACTTCTCCCTTCCCCAAATCATCCCTCCATCCCTCACAAACCCCTCCTCATCCCTCTCTCCGTTCTCCTCCTCTACACCCCCTTCCCTGTTCCTGTCCGCCTCCATCCACATCCTGAACACCACCAACCCGTCTGTTTCCGGGGAGAACCAAAGCATTGTGGGTAATACCACCTCCACGACAGTAGGGGCTCTCATCCTGTGTCTGGTCTTGCTGCTGGGCCTCCCTGGCAACCTCTTCATCATCTGGAGTATCCTGGCGCATGCCCGTCGCCGCTCCGTCACCACCCTCCTCATTCTCAATCTAGCGGTGGCCGACGGCTCGCTCATGGCGCTCACGCCCTTCTTCGTGATCTACCTGGTCAAGAAGACCTGGGTTTTTGGCAACATCATGTGCAAGGTTGGGGCTCTTGTTGATTGTTGATATAATGGCTGCATTCCAGGCTGACTACATTGCAGCCAATGCTAGATATCACAACGCCTGGATAGGTGTTAAGCATATCCACTAACCTCATCATATGATATAGCAATCTGATGCCCGACTGTGCAGTTGATGACGTGGCAAGTAACCATGCAACGCAATGACTGCAATGTAGTCGGCCTGGAACGTGACCAATGTCAATAGACCAATGCCATCATTTTATGCCCAAAGACGGACATATTTGAAAACACCTTTGTTACTAAACATGGAGTGAGTACTTTACTTTTTCATTGAATCCTTATCCTTTTGAAATGCTAACAATATGCTCTCCCTTTTCGTCTTCATCAGATACTCTTCTACCTGTGCCTCGCCAACATGTACGCCTCCATCCAACTGATCATGCTGATGAGCCTGCACAGGCTGGTGGCCGTGGTGTGGCCTCGGCGCGTCGCTGCCCTCGCTGGACGGAAGGCGGTGCAGCGTGGGGTGCTGGTACTGTGGACCCTGGTGCTGGTCGCATCCATCCCTGCGTTGCTGTTCAGGGACGAGCGGAAGACAGAGCACCCCAACGGGAAGAGACGCGTAGTGTGTGAGTCGTTCCACAAGCAGCGAAGTCATGTGAGCGACACTTAATTATTTACTGACTGACTGACTTAATCCTAATCTACATTCCTGGAGGACCATAGGGCTTTATTATTATTATTATTATATTATTAATATTATTAATATATTTTAAAAATTTTAATTTTTTAATTCTAACCCTAACCACCCCTCCCCTAATTGGAGTAAACTAATGGACAACAACACTTAGGCTTCTACTTCCATCTTATACATACTATATACATTTTACGGACACAATCTATTTTACAATAGTTATATCTTGTTATTAGTCCCACCCTTCATATAGATCACAAAATAGTTGGGAAGAGATTTTCGATGTACCGATTCCATGGCACATGGTTTATGAACTGATACGCAAAACGTCGCCGGATTCAAAACTTTTTCCATTTAAATTATTATACAAAATTCTTGCAACCAATATAATGTATATATATATGGGGGATACAACCTTCCCAGCTCTGCAGATGTTGCTACAAAGAGACAGAGTCATTAGATCATTTATTTTGGTACTATCCATATGTAGCTTGTTTTTGCTCACAGGTCCAGGAATGGCTGACGAATTGCAACATTTACCAGGAGCTAACTCTGCAGATAGCACTACTGGGTGATTTGAAAAGTCATAGTCAATCGGTCAATAACATAATAATACTTTTAGGAAAAATTGTCATCTTTAATTTACAATCTGTAGAAACTATGAGAATAGAAAGGTTCTGAACTTTTGTGAAACATCACAGCACAGTTGAAAAATATATGGCAAATATAAATCCAATATGGATGGTGTTAAGAGATAGATGGGAGGGGTTGAGTGGAGCTGAAGGGTGAGACTAAGAACCATAGAGATAGATGGGAGGGGTTGAGTGGAGCTAAAGGGTGGGACTAAGGACCATAGGGCTAGATGGGAGGGGTTGAGTGGAGCTGAAGGGTTGGACTAAGGACCATAGGGCTAGATGGGAGGGGTTGAGTGGAGCTGAAGGGTTGGACTAAGGACCATAGGGCTAGATGGGAGGGGTTGAGTGGAGCTGAAGGGTTGGACTAAGGACCATAGGGCTAGATGGGAGGGGTTGAGTGGAGCTGAAGGGTTGGACTAAGGACCATAGGGCTTGCATGTGAGTGATGGGAGAAGGAAAATAGCATTTAATCAACAATTAAAGACTTGTATGTCAGTTGAGGGAAGAAGAAAGTACTTACTTTTCATGACGGCTTTCTATCACCGTAGCAATGTCTTATCTGTCTTATCTTATTATGTGGTCCTCTGTAGCTCAATTGGTAGAGCATGGCGCTTGTAACGCCAGGGTAGTGGGTTCGATCCCCGGGACCACCCATACGTAAAAATGTATGCACACATGACTGTAAGTCGCTTTGGATAAAAGCGTCTGCTAAATGGCATATTATTATTATATTATTATTATTATTATCTGTAGTCAGATCATCCATAAAAACTTTGTTAGGTATGGAGTGTAAATGTTACATTGCTTTTGTGTATATAGTGTCACTGACACTAAACAATCAAGCTGTCAATCAAGGTGATCTCTATGCTGATACAGTAGGCTACTCGCCCTGTTCCCTCAGTGCAGGTGGTGCTCCAGTACACGTTGGAGACAGTGCTGGGATTTGTAGTTCCTTACGGAGTGATTGTAGGCAGCTACATCTGCATCCTGCGGAGGATCAGGCAGACCAGGTCCACTGTTGTTTTACTATCTTCATTTATCGATCATCTTAATTACAATTTTCTCTATCTTCATTTCATATTTGTCTAGAATGTATTATTTTGCCTCATCTTTCTCACTTTATTTTATTTTATTTTGTTAAGCACTTTGAGATGTGTTTTTATAAGATGTGCTGTAGAAATAATGTTTGATTTGATTTGACCAGATTCAGGAGGAGGATCCGCAGTGAGAAGCTCATCCTGGCCATCGTGGTCACCTTTGGTGTCTTCTGGTTGCCCTACCATGTCATCAACATTGTGCAGGTACTGTGTGTTTGTGTTTGTTTGTGTGTGTGTGTGTGTGTGTGTGTGTGTGTGTGTGTGTGTGTGTTTGTGTGTGTGTGAGAGTTATAGCCAGGGCCTCAAACTCCCTATTGAGGCTAAAACTATAGGTGCTGCTGTAACACGAATGTCTATTATGATGAAATCTGTTCTCATAGATTAAATATGTCCTTACAGGTTGCTGCAGCACTTTCTCCAAATGATTCAGCTCTAAAAGCAAGGTAGGCTTTCTCAATGACTGTGTCATAAGATCCTCACCCCCTTTTTTATTTGTAGTGTCATAATAACCTTTACTTAATTGAATTATTATCAAATCCCTAACTAAATTCTCATTAAAAAAAAGAACAACCATGTTTTCCCTCCCTCCCCAAAAGAACAACCCTGTTTTCCTATTCTCCCTCCCTCACTGTAATGGAAAACTGTAATTTCTACTGTAATTTTAGGTATTATCAACAGTAAAAAACTCTGAAACATTTAACTGCAGCATACTGTAAATGATGGTGCATTGTGGGATATTGCTGTTTTTCGAATGGTACTGTAATTCCACCCCACAGAATACAGTACCATACCGTATCTTTGGAGTCCCAAAAACCTTTTGAACACTAGTGGTTGCATGGTATTGTTGTCTCTGGCTCATTAACATATTTTGAGGCGTGCCTTGTAAGAGGCTATATTTGTTCCACCCGTGAGTGAGAATTTCTGTATCAATTTAACTATTATGTGGTTATAGTGCCCCATCAATTTGAAATGTATAGGGGACATATTGGGGTGGCAGAAAGTCTTAAACATTAAATCAGGGGTGTCAAACTCATTCCATGGAGGGCCTAGTGTCTTCAGGTTTTTCCTTTCAATTAAGACCTAGACAACCAGGTGAGGGGTGTTCTTTACTAATTAGTGACCTTAATTCATCAATCAAGTACAAGGGAGGAGCGAAAACCTGCAGACACTTGGCCCTCTGTGGAACGAGTTTGACACGTGCCTTAAATGGTTGAGCATTTTGCCATGTCCTTTTGGTCTGTTTTGCCCTGTAGTAGTTGCCAGTTTGGACGCCTTTGTTAAGGCCTCTAGAAATGCAAGTGATATAAAACACCAGATATTCATTAATATGCTGTAATGTGTAAACACTTTACATAGCAGCCAACCTTCTTGCAACAATCCCTTGTAATTACAGTAAAATACTGTGAAATAGAAATGTAATTCATCCATCCATTCATTCTGATTACGGTAGCATTAACTTTTTTACAGTATATTACAGTACATTTTACGGTATTATACTGTGTGTCATTGCACAATACTTGCTTTGATACCGCATTTATGTTACACTAGGTGTACTGTAATATACTGTAGTCTCTGCTAATGCAAGGCAAGCGGTAGCGATGCACCAAGTCTGGAACCAACAGGAATCAACAGCTTCTACTCTCAAGCCATAAGACTGCTAAATAGTTAGTTAAATAGTTACATAGACTATCTGCATTTACCCTTTCTGCACTAACCTTTTTGACTCACCACGTATGCTGCTGCTACTGTTTACTATCTTTCTTCCTAGTTATATCTACATACATTATCTACCTCAATTACCATGTACCCCTTCACATTGACTCGGTACTGGTACCCCGTGTATAAAGCCAGGTTATCGTTACTCATTGTGTATCTATTATTACTTTTATTATTATGTGTTTTACTTTTTCTATTATTTCTCTATGTTCTTTCACTCTGCATTGTTGGGAAGGGCCCGTGAGTAAGCATTTCACTGTTAGTTTACACCTGTTGTTTACGAAGCATGTGACGAATGAAATTTGACTTTAAAAAAATACATAATTGTACTTGCTTCCTCTCACTCCCTCCCCCAGGCTTGACACTATTTTGGCAGACCAGCCGTGCGGTCACCTCAGCCCTGGCCTTCATCAGCAGCTGTGCCAACCCTGTCCTCTACACTTTCGTTGGCATGTCGTACATCCGGCGGGACGGCTTTGCCTTCATGGCCCGCCTGTTCGAGGGCACGGCGCAGGACTCTGGGACCAGGAAGAGCCGACAGAACAGCCAGAATAGCCGAGAGAGAGACAGGGATGCAGAGGAGGTCGGACTGAAGGAAAAGGAGGGAGATCTAGAGTCGACAACCAGCACCAATGTCACGAGTCCCATCAAAGTGAAACCTGGGAAGAATGGCAAACAGGGCCCGATTCCGACTTAGGAAAGGATGTCTTTCTCATGCTCACATTTCCTACACATTTCTCAGTAGTTGGCATTCAGACTTACCTTATAAAGGTGTGTAACGGGCTTCGCAGGCGTGGTTCCCTTATGCGCACGGAATAAATGTCATTCATCTGCTGAAAACCCTCTCACTTGCTGGCCAACAGATTTTCTCGTGGAGTTTTCATTCAGTAGGCTTTTCAGTACATTTATTTAGCTATCCTTTAAATATGGTGTACCTTTTAGTTTGAATTTTGTCAACAGACTCAATAGAATATATAGAGAGAATCGGTTCAGAATATTAGGGGTCAATTAAAGAAAGCCATCTAAATATACACTACCAGTAAAAAGTTTGGACACACCTACTCATTCAAGGGTTTTTCTTTATTTTTTACATTGTAGAATAATAGTGAAGACATCAAAACTATGAAATAACACATATGGAATCATGTAGTAACCAAAAAAGTGTTAAACAAATCAAAATATATTTGAGATATATGAGATTCTTCAAATAGCCACCCTTTGCCTTGATGACAGCTTTTCACACTCTTGGCATTCTCTCAACCAGCTTCATGAGGTAGTCACTTGGAATGCATTTCAACTAACAGGTGTGCCTTCTTAAAAGTTAATTTGTGGAATTTCTTTCCTTCTTAATGCGTTTGAGCCAATCAGTTGTGTTGTGACAAGGTAGGGGTGGTATACAGAAGATAGCCCTACTTGGTAAAAGACCAAGTCCATATTATGGCAAGACAGCTCAAATAAGCAAAGAGAAACGACAGTCCATCATTACTTTAAGACATGAAGGTCAGTCAATACGTACCATTTCAAGAACTTTGAAAGTTTATTCAAGTGCAGTCGCAAAAACCATCAAGCGCTATGATGAAACTGGGTCTCATGAGGACCGCCACAGGAATGGAAGACCCAGAGTTACCTCTGCTGCAGAGGATAAGTTCATTAGAGTTACCAGCCTCAGAAATTGCAGCCCAAATAAATGCTTCACAGAGTTCAAGTCACAGACACATCTCAACATCAACTGTTCAGAGGGGACTGTGTGAATCAGGCCTTCATGATCGAATTGCTGCAAAGAAACCACTACTAAAGGAAACCAATAATAAGAATAGACCTGCTTGGGCCAAGAAACACGAGCAATGGACATTAGACCGGTGGAAATGTGTCCTTTGGTCTGGAGTCCAAATTTGAGATTTTGGGTTCCAACCGCCGTGTCTTTGTGAGACGCGGTGTGGGTGAACGGATGATCTCAGCATGTGTAGTTCCCACCGTAAAGCATGGAGGAGGAGGTGTTATGTTGTGGGGGTGCTTTGCTGGTGACACTGTCTGTGATTTATTTAGAATTCAAGACTCACTTAACCAGAATGGCTACCACAGCATTCTGCAGCGATACGCCATCCCATCTGGTTTGGGCTTAGTGGGACAATCATTTGTTTTTCAACAGGACAATGACCCAACACACCTGCAGGCTGTGTAGGGACTATTTTACCAAGAAGGAGAGTGATGGAGTGCTGCATCAGATGACCTGGCCTCCACAATCCCCCGACCTCAACCCAATTGAGATGGTTTTGGATGAGTCGGACGGCAGAGTGAAGGAAAAGCAGCCAACAAGTGCTCAGCATATGTGGGAACTCCTTCAAGACTGTTGGAAAAGCATTCCAGGTGAAGCTGGTTGAGATAATGCTAAGAGTGTGCAAAGCTGCCATCAAGGCAAAGGGTGGCTATTTGAAGAATCTCAAATCTAAAAATATAAAATAGATTTGTTTAACACTTTTTTGGTTACTACATGATTCCATATGTGTTATTTCATAGTTTGTAGAAAATAGTAAAAATAAAGAAAAACCCTTAAATGAGTAGGTGTGTCCAAACTTTTGACTGGTACTGTGTATATGCATATTCATCTCGGTTTCAGCACCAATTGGTAGATTTTAAAATCTTGTAGATTGTTTAGGGCTAGGAAAGTATTTATGAATCATAAAAAACTGGTTTGGATAGCATTTACGCACAAAAGAAAGAAAACGTGGGTTTGATTCATTCAGAAAATTGCCACATTCAGTTCTTTAACTCATGGTAATGTTGGATGATTAGTGTACATAGAATTATAATAGGGAGAATAGTGTACAATAGTAGGCTATACCCTCCTCTATTGCCAGCACTAACCATAGAACTGTGTGATGACACAGCCAAGTTTTGCACCATACGTCGGGTTCAAACTGTTATGCTTGGTCTGTGCTCCCGCTCCATAACGATTTAATTAACTATGTCTAATTAAATATGATCAACTGTTACTAATGATCTTCAGCAACAACCACATGGCCGTGTTTGCGTTTACAGAGGAAGCAAATGAAGGTTAACAAAATCATGTACTTAAATGGAATGATAATGTAGGCTGTACCAACTGAAGGGAACTAACTAACAGTAAATTGGCAGTTGAATATGTGTTGTTATTAGGCCTACTGACGGTCGATACTGATAGTGGTTAATATTTAACATGATAGAAATAGTAAACAGAGAAAGTCGGGGTAGCCTATAATCAAGACATTTGAGAGTGCCCATCCCAGCAAGGTAAGGCCGTACAATTTAAATTCTGCCTAATGGCACAGCATTTCACTGTGGGAAATGTATATGTTGATATGCTTCAGTTTTCTACCATATGATTGGTTTCACATTTGCCTCCAGCGATTATAAGGTAAAATATAGGGCAGAGTCTAAAACAAGTATCATTTATATGTACAATTCCCTTATCCAAATGGATTACTCATTTACCTAGCTCTTCCTAATAGCTATTATCAAGTTGTACATTTGACCAAAATTAAGTAGATGCTTTTTCCACTTGGATCGGATAGGTTCGGTAGACCTTATTCATGGTAGGTGAATAGCACGCTATTCTTATGATTAAGTTCAAGGTCAGACTATGCATAGAGAGAAAAGTGCATAAAAAAAGGAATTACATTCAATTTACAAATGCTTAACTATGGTTCCGATTCTGACTTAGGAATGTATGCCTTTCCTATGCACTTTTCAGTATTTGGCATTCAAACTTATTTAGTCGTGTAAAGCACTCTGCAGGTGTGGTTACCTTGCGCACTCCGAATAAATGTAATTCAAACTGCTGAAAACCCTCCCATATCCTGGACAACAGATTTTCTCTTGGAGTTTTCATTCAATGGGGTTTTCCTATAGCTCTGGTCTCCGATTTTCATCAACAGAAAATAATGAGGGCACACAATTATAATTCTGAATAACGGCATGGCTATTTATATCCTATTTTACTGTGCAATACAGTACATGTCATGTTGAGATGATTTTCAGTTTGCTTCGTCTCCAGAGATCATAGAGGGAAATTATCTAAAACAATTACTATGTGTATTTACAATCCCCTTCTCCAAACGGATTACTCATTTACCTAGCTCTTATCAATAGATCTAATCAAGTTGTAAATTACAGTGCATGGAGAATGGTGTTATTTCTATTGGAACAAATTAAGTAGATGCTTTTTCCACTTTGAACTGGTAGGTTCGCTAGACCTTATTCATGGTTTCCTCGCGTAAAGGTGGTGGAATTATTAGGGAATTAAGTCAAGGTCAGAATATGACGTATCCGACACACCTTCATTTATTCGGTCTCCACCTCGAACGAATAGTGGATGAATAGCATACTATTCTCATGCTTAAATTTAAGGTCAGAATGAAAATGAATAAAGTTCTATTTACACGCGCTTAACACGAGTCGGAATCTGGGCCATAGTGACTGGAAGATGAATGAGTTGGACACTATTGCAGAAGCTGTTTTGGAGGGAATGTAGTTTCCTGCAGTTCGCAGGTTGGCCACTAGATGTAGAAGTCATGTTTCCAAATGGTTCATGACTGACTTAATGACTGACTGAACCATATCTCTGTTTTTAGAGGTGGTGATTCAAGCTCAGTGGGTGTGGGTTGAATTTAGTCAATTATCTTTACAGTATGTTTTGTCTGTCTGACTTTCTCTCCCTCTCTCCATTTGTGTGTGTGCATGCGTGTGTGCATGTGATTTAATGCTGTAAGTACAGTGCAATACCAAATTGTTAGAGTAAAAAGAGCACTGTATAATGTAAAGTGTTACCAATATTTGTATAATTGTTTACCACATTTATTTTATCAAAAGCATTAAGACATGTCATGTTTTTGTGCCAGTGCATGAAAATTAAAAACACTTTTCTCAGAGAAGATATGGCTGCCGTTGATTGACTAGGAAACTCTTAGAGGTGAGATCAACATTCACAACAAGACAGCTATCAGAAGAGTCATATCCGGCTGGCAAGCAGTAGCATGCATGTCCTCCAGTCATTTCTTTGCCTTCAGGAAATTTTTTCCCTCCTCCTCCTTTTTCCTGGAACTTGTCCTCTCTTTTTCTTGTTCTTCCTCCTCGTCCTTTGCCTCCTTGTCCTCCTTCTCCACCTCTCTTTTCCCTGGAACCATTGTCATCTCTTCTACCTCTCCCTCTTGTTTCCCACCTCCCCAGTCCTCCTTCTCTTTCTCTCTACCGCTACCATCATGCTTTGCTCTCATGCTGGGCGTGTCCATGTTGGAGGCCTTCCCCTCAAGCAGCAGTGCCACGCCCCCCACACCATTGGGGGAGGAGCCAGAGCGTGTGAGGGAGGAGCCAGAGCAGGAGCTGGCCATGGTATAGAGCAAAGGGTTGACAGCACTGCTGAGGTAAGCTAAGGCTATGACCACCGTCCTGGCTCTCAGACAGAACCCCAGCAAATCCGTGGACCCGGAAAGAATGGCCCCCACCTGAAACAAGGAATCATAAGTTTCATTATGAACTCGAACTATGTCAATCTTTTTTTTTTTTTACAAACTTTGGGGAAATACATTTACATTTACATTTTAGTCATTTAGCAGACGCTCTTATCCAGAGCGACTTACAGTTAATGAATACATATTTTTTTATACTGGCCCCCCGTGGGAATCGAACCCACAACCCTGGCGTTGCAAACGCCATGCTCTATCAACTGAGCTACATCCCTGCCGGCCATTCCCTCCCCTACCCTGGACGACGCTGGGCCAATTGTGCGCCGCCCATGAGTCTCCCGGTCGCGGCCGGCGGCGACAGAGCCTGGATTCGAACCAGGATCTCTAGTGGCACAGTTAGCACTGCGATGCAGTGCCTTAGACCACTGCGATGCAGTGCCTTAGACCACTGCGCCACTCAGGAGATTTGTGTTTTAATGCAATGTTTTACCACCCTGAACTGGATTTCACCATATGAGGCCAATGGTGACTTTAGAACAGTTACAGAGTTTAATGGCTATAATACAATAAAACTGAGGATGGATCAACAACATTGTAGTTACTCAACAATACTAACCTAATTGACGAAATGAAAAGAAGGAAGCCTGTACAAAACATGCATCCTGTTTGCAAGAAGGCACTAAAGTAATACAGCAAAAAATGTGGCAAAGCAATTCACTTTTTGTCCTGAATACAAAGTGTTATGTTTGGGACAAATCCAATACGACACATTACTTAGTACCACTCTCCATAATTTCAACATAGTGGTGGCTGCATCATGTTATGGGTATCCTTGTAATTGTTAAGGACTGGGGAGTTTTTCAGTATAAAAAATTAACTGAATGGCACTAAGCACAGGCAAAATCCTAGAGGAAAACCTGGTTTAGTCTGCTTTCTACCAGACACTGGGAGATTAATTCACCTTTCAGCAGGACAATAACCTAAAATACAAGTCTAAATCACACTGGAGTTGCTTACCAAGAAGACAGTGAATGTTCCTGAATGACCGAGTTACAGTTTTGACTTAAACCTACTTGAAAATCAATGGGATGACCTGAAAATTGTTGCCTAGCAATGATCAACAACCAATTTGACAGAGCTTGAAGAATTTTAAAAAGAAAATAATAATGGGAAAATGTTGTACAATAGATAAGAGCTGGGACCGGGGCTAAGCGGGAGGGCCAATAGACCAGAGGTGGTAGAACGGAATGCCTGGGTTGGGGTGTAGGATTTGAGCATAGCCTGAAGGTAGGGAGGAACGGGCAGTTCATCTTGCTGCTACGTAGGCAAGTACCATGGTTCTGTAGTTGACGCGAGCTTCAACTGGAAGCCAGGTGTGGAAAACTCTTAAAGACTTACCCAGAAAGACTCACAGATGTAATCGCTGCCAACGGTCCTTCTACAAAGTATTGACTCAGGGGTGTGAATACTTATGTAGATATTTCTGTATTTAATTTTCAATAAATTTGCTAAACATTTCTAAAAGCATTTTTTCACTTTGTCATTATTGGGCATTGTGCGTAGATGGGTGATTATTTATTTTTTTAATCCATTTTGAATTCAGGCTGTAAAACAACAAACTGTGGAATAAGTCAAGGGGTATGGATAATTTCTGAAGGCACTGTATGTAATGTATACATTCGGTGCATTCGGAAAGTATCAGACCCCTTTACTTTTTCCACATTTTGTTACGTTATAGCCTTATTCTAAAATGGGTTCAATTAAAAAATGTCCTCATCAATCTACACACAATACCCCATAATGACAAAACAAAAACAGGTTTTTAGAAATGTTTGCTAATTTATTACAAATTAAAAAAAACTGATACCTTATTTACATAAGTATTCAGACCCTTTGTATATATATGCCCACCTGCAGGATGTTGACCAGGTGGTACGGAGCCCACAAGAGGACGAAAGCCAAGACTATCAGTGCGATGAAGCGGTTGGTCTTCCTGTAGGAGCGGTGGTGCCAGTGGGCGCAGCTGGATGCTAAGGTACGAGCGATACGCAAGTAGCAGACCGTCATGATGCTGAAGGGGACCAGGAACGCAGTAACTGTCTCTAGGGAATAGTGGAACACCTGGTAGAGAGGATAGGACCAGAAACGATTTGATTTCATTTGATTTCATGCGTTTTAGTAAGAGTGTCTTTAAATGAGTGTAATTACATATTTTATCTATTTAAATTTCAGTACTTGTCTGTTACAAATAAATGCATCAAAAACAATGTTGACAGATTGATCGATTGTTTTAGCTATATCCACATCTATTTAGAATAAATATGGATATAGAATTTAAAAAATCTGCAACATGTTTTATGGAAAACGGATAACACAATATGAAATAATGTGGTGTACAATACTAATATACTGTACAACACTAAAATTACAAAATATAATATTCTGTCAGTAAAGTTACCTGGTGGGCGGGCCCGGGGTAATGCGTGGTACACTCCCCCTTTCGGACTTGGCGGTACACAAGCAGAGGAGTGGGAAGCACTATAGCCAGCGCCCACACCCCGCCCATGATAGGGAACAGCCTCGACTTCGTCCGGACGCGCTGGGACAGGAAGGGACATACCACGCCAAGGTGTCGGTCGACGCCCATCAAGGTAATCAACAGGACGCTGAGGTACATGCTGATGCCGCAGACGTAGTGCAGGAACTTACACACTCCCTCTCCGAACTCCCAGACTCTGCCCATGAAGAGCTGGTGAATGAAGAAGGGAGCGGAGAGCAGCACGAGTGCGTCAGCAGCCGCTAGCTGGAGGATGAGGAGGGACGTGATGGAATGGCGATTCAGGCGGAATAGTATGGTCCAAACCACAAGGAGGTTTCCGGGGAGACCCATGGCCATAGCAACCAGGAGAAAGGAGATTTCAACATAATAAGTGATGGATGAGTTTGGAGCAGATGAGTTGGTAGAGAAGTAGCTGGTGTTATTCCATGCTGTGGTTTCCATCCTGAGAGTTGGAAGCGAGAAAGAGAGAGCGAGACAGACAGACAGACAGGTAAATAAAGTGGTGTGGAAATACAGGATTTTGTCATCGAAACAGAGGAAGTTGCTTGAAACACGTTGTTTAGCAACCCGGTAGGTTGCAACGAATACATTTCACAACAGTATAACGTGAACGTCTAGCAACCCAAAGGTTACGTGATCGAATCTCATCACAGACAACTTTTAAATTTTAGGTAATTTTGTAACTTTGCAACTACTTACTACTTTTTAGCTACTTTGCAACTACTTAGCGTGTTAGCTAACCCTTCCCCTAACCCTAACCTGAACCTTTTAACTTAACCTTAACCCTAACCTTAACCCTTTAACAACTTAGCTATCATGTTACCTGACCCCAACCCCTAACCTTAACCCCTAACCCTAACCCTAACCTTAACACCTAGCCTAGCTAACGTTAGCCACCTAGCTAGCCTAGCTAACATTACCTACAACACATGCGTTATGAAAAAATAAAATTGTGTAACACACACGAAAAAGTGGACTTTTTATTTTTGTGTACCTGTCATGAATTTTGAAAAAGTAATTTGGTGTCTGTTCCACAATAAGCTGTGATAGTGTGTTTGCATACACTTATGCAAAATAACATTGAAATTAATCAATATGCATAAAGAAACATCAGCGACACACAATCCATGCTGTTAAATACCTTAAAACTTCAAAGTCCCATTCTACAACATTTTAAGCATTCAAAAAATACAAGATATAATTCATAAAAATGCTTCGAATAATGTATCTCTTCAGCGTCCCATTTGTGTGTAATATTGGGCCTATTTGGCCTCATGTTGTAACCTGTCATGTTGTAACCTGTCATGTTGTAACCTGTCATGTTGTAACCTGTCATGTTGTAACCTGTCATGTTGTAACCTGTCATGTTGTAACCTGTCATGTTGTAACTGGTGTTCTCACAGTTCCAAACTATCACACACTAACAGCTAACTGGCCACTGCATGCATGAAAGTATCTGATGAGTCAAACAGCAACCAGATTATATATATATACACACTACTTTTCAAAAGTTTGGGGTCACTTAGAAATGTCCTTGTTTTCGAAAGAAAAGCTATTGTTTTGTCCATTAAAATAACATCAAATTGATCAGAAATACAGTGTAGACATTGTTAATGTTGTAAATGGCTATTGTAGCTGGAAACAGCTGATTTTTAATGGAATATCTACATAAGCGTACAGAGGCCCATTATCAGCAACCATCAATCCTGTGTTCCAATGGCACATTGTGTTTGCTAATCCAAGTTTATCATTTTAAAAGGCTAATTGGCAGCTTCATTAAATAGTACCCGCAAAACACCAGTCTCAACGTCAACAGTGAAGAGGCGACTCCGGGATGCTGACCTTCTAGGCAGAGTTGCAAAGAAAAAGCCATATCTCAGACTACCCATCTTAATCTTTTCTTTTTATTGGTCAGTCTGAGATATGGCATTTTCTTTGCAACTCTGCCTAGAAGGTCAGCATCCTGGAGTCGCCTCTTCACTGTTGATGTTGAGACTGGTGTTTTGCGGGTACTATTTATTGAAACTTCCAGTTGAGGACCTGTGAGGCGTCTGTTTCTCAAACTAGACACTCTAATGTATTTGTCCTCTTGCTCAGTTGTGCACCGGGGCCTCCCCCTCCTCTTTCTATTCTGGTTAGAGCCAGTTTGCACTGTTCTGTGAAGGGAGTAGTACACAGCGTTGTACGATATCTTCAGTTTCTTGGCAATTTCTCGCATGGAATAGCCTTCATTTCTCAGAACAAGAATAGACTGATGAGTTTCAGAAGAAAGTTCTTTGTTTCTGGCCATTTGTAGCCTGTAATCAAACCCACAATTGCTGATGCTCCAGATACTCAACTAGTCTCAAGAAGGCCAGTTGTATTGCTTCTTTAATCAGCACAACAGTTTTCAGCTGTGCTAACATAATTGCAAAAGGGTTTTCGAATGATCAATTAGCATTTTAAAATGATAAACTTGGATTAGCAAACACAACGTGCCATTGGAACACAGGATTGATGGTTGCTCATAATGGGCCTCTGTACGCCTATGTAGATATTCCATAAAAAATCAGCTCTTTCCAGCTACAATAGCCATTTACAACATTAACAATGTCTATACTGTATTTCTGATCAATTTGATGTTATTTTAATGGACAAAAAAATTGCTTTTCTTTCGAAAACAAGGAAATGTCTAAGTGACCCCAAACTTTTGAACGGTAGTGTGTATATATACACAACATAAATGACTCTCCCGAGTGGCGCAGTGGTCTAAGGCACTGCGTCGCAGTGCTAGCTGTGCCACTAGAGATCCTGGTTCGAATCCAGGCTCTGTCGTAGCCAACCGCGACCGGGAGACGCATGGGGCGGCGCACAATTGGCCCAGCGTTGTCCAGGGTAAGGGTGGGAATGGTTGGCAGGGATGTAGCTCAGTTGGTAGAGCATGGCGTTTGCAACGCCAGGGTTGTGGGTTCGATTCCCATGGGGGGGCCAGTATTTTTAAAAAATGATGTATGCACTCACTAACTGTAAGTCGCTCTGGATAAGAGCGTCTGCTAAATGACTAAAATGTAAATGTAAATAAATATACACAATACTCTGTGTCTTCTAGTGTCTCTCTCTCGCCTCTATTTTCTCTCTCTCGCTCCCTCCCTCCTTCCCATCGCTCGCTCTCTCTCTCTCTTGCTCTCTCTCTCTCTCTCCCGCGTGCCTCTTTTCTCTCTCTCCCTCCCTCCTTCCTCTCTCTCTCTCTCTCTCTTTCGCATGCTGTCACAGATCCATGGTGGTCAGAGAAAAAGGGGAAGATGTGGGACAAAACAGTGTCTTGATCCTAAATGATCAGGTGACTCAAACGTAGTGTGCTATGGACAATATGTCGTCATTTGAGAAATAGACAGAGTTGTCATATATTGGCTACATTTACAAATTTACATAGCATCAACATCCTATAAAGATTTAACTCTACTTCAGTTCTAGTTCAACCAAATAGACAGCACACAGATTTCAATAATAAACTGTGTTTGTATAAAATCTGATGTCGGATCACAACACAACACGCTATTTACTCCCTAAACCTTTAATGTGTGTGTGACACATTAAGAATCAGCACATAGGGGAAAAGGAGAAGACTGTCAGAAAGTTTACGTGATGATGGAGAGATATGATTTTTAGAAACCTTTTTTGTCACCATTTAGCTATTTGCTATACATAGCAAACAATCAAAATGCCAACAAAGTAAAACATCTCAGTGCATAGCAGTATCTACAGTGGGGGAAAAAAGTATTTAGTCAAATCAAATCAAATCAAATTTTATTGGTCACATGCGCCGAATACAACAGGTGCAGACATTACAGTGAAATGCTTACTTACAGCCCTTAACCAACAGTGCATTTATTTTAAACAAAAAAAGTAAAAATAAACCAACAACAAAAAAAGTGTTGAGAAAAAAAAAGAGCAGAAGAAAAATAAAGTGACAGTAGGGAGGCTATATACAGGGGGGTACCGTTGCAGAGTCAATGTGCGGGGGCACCGGCTAGTTGAGGTAGTTGAGGTAATATGTACATGTGGGTAGAGTTAAAGTGACTATGCATAAATACTTAACAGAGTAGCAGCAGCGTAAAAAGGATGGGGTGGGAGGGCAGTGCAAATAGTCCGGGTAGCCATGATTAGCTGTTCAGTAGTCTTATGGCTTGGGGGTAGAAGCTGTTGAGAAGTCTTTTGGACCTAGACTTGGCACTCCGGTACCGCTTGCCGTGCGGTAGCAGAGAGAACAGTCTATGACTAGGGTGGCTGGAGTCTTTGACAATTTTGAGGGCCTTCCTCTGACACCGCCTGGTATAGAGGTCCTGGATGGCAGGAAGCTTTGCCCCAGTGATGTACTGGGCCGTACGCACTACCCTCTGTAGTGCCTTGCGGTCGGAGGCCAAGCAGTTGCCATACCAGGCGGTGATGCAACCAGTCAGGATGCTCTCGATGGTGCAGCTGTATAATTCTTTGAGGATCTGAGGACCCATGCCAAATCTTTTTAGTCTCCTGAGGGGGAATAGGCTTTGTCGTGCCCTCTTCACGACTGTCTTGGTGTGTTTGGACCATGATAGTTCGTTGGTGATGTGGACACCAAGGAACTTGAAGCTCTCAACCTGTTCCACTACAGCCCCGTCGATGAGAATGGGGGCGTGCTCAGTCCTCTTTTTTTTCCTGTAGTCCACAATCATCTCCTTTGTCTTGGTCACGTTGAGGGAGAGGTTGTTGTCCTGGCACCACACGGCCAGATCTCTGACCTCCTCCCTATAGGCTGTCTCATCGTTGTCGGTGATCAGGCCTACCACTGTTGTGTCGTCGGCAAACTTAATGATGGTGTTGGAGTCGTGCCTGGCCATGCAGTCATGGGTGAACAGAGAGTACAGGAGGGGACTGAGCACGCACCCCTGAGGGCCCCCGTGTTGAGGATCAGTGTGGCAGATGTGTTGTTACCTACCCTTACCACCTGGGGGCGGCCCGTCAGGAAGTCCAGGATCCAGTTGCAGAGGGAGGTGTTTAGTCCCAGGATCCTTAGCTTAGTGATGAGCTTAGAGGGCACTATGGTGTTGAATGCTGAGCTGTAGTCAATGAATAGCATTCTCACGTAGGTGTTCCTCTTGTCCAGGTGGGAAAGCGCAGTGTGGAGTGCAATAGAGATTGCATCATCTGTGGATCTGTTGGGGCGGTATGCAAATTGGAGTGGGTCTAGGGTTTCTGGGATAATGCTGTTGATGTGAGCCATGACCAGCCTTTCAAAGCACTTCATGGCTACAGACGTCAGTGCTACGGGTCGGTAGTCATTTAGGCAGGTTATCTTAGAGTCCTTGGGCACGGGGACTATGGTGGTCTGCTTGAAACATGTTGGTATTACAGACTCAGTCAGGGACATGTTGAAAATGTCAGTGAAGACACTTGCCAGTTGGTCAGCACATGCTCGGAGTACAC